AATTATTTTTTTCTTTGATAGTCCTAATGATATCAATGTTACTCATTGTTTTGTCATAATAACTGAAAAATTACTTTTTTAGTAACTGTATAATTGTAATAAAAGTTAATCTTTAGTCTCGGTAACTTAGAACTATAACTAATAACTAATTACTTTTGAAAAAAAAAACTGTAACTGTAACTAGTTATTTTTACAAAGTAACATTTTTGTATAAAAGCTTTTTTCATATAGCTTATCTTATTTTGAAGATATTCGCTGATATTGAAAAAAATCTGTTATTTTTAAGAGGTTATTTCGACCTTGAGATAATTAGATAAAAAAATATGAGTCTAATGTTTTATGATGCTCTATAACACATCCAAAGCAAAATCGTGATGAACGGTGAGTTCCGACCGTTCCCTTATCAGAATCAGAAACCTCCGCGTCTTATCTATTAGAATTAAATACTTAGAAGCTAAACGCACAAGAATAAATAGATTTAATTTTAGTTTAAATAGTATTCTATAAATCAAAGAGACGCACGCGCACACGATGTAATTGTCGAATACAGCTAGACGAAGACGGTTCTTCGTGCGATATATCGATCGTCATGATTAACACTAATTAACGTGTGAAATGACATGAGCACAAATTTCCAGTGCTCTGCGAACGTATACGCGAATCTAGGTTTATACTTGACACGATAGGAAAATAAATTATATAAACGTTAAATTATTATGTATGTAGAGTGTATGAGGATCTATGAATCAGAAGATCCATGTATCGGAAAGACCCAAAGATGAGTATATCAAAAGATACGGTCTTGTAATTTGCCGTCTCTTTGGCGCGAAACGGACCGTTGTATATATCTATATAATAATTTAAGATACTCTAATACCTTAAATTATAGCATTCCAATAATGCCAGTAATTGAGTTCCGGACAGATTTAATTGATTCAAAGATCCTCGCACATCTGCGGTTAATACACTTTGCACTGTGTTTATGCAATGCAATAATTACTAAGGTGAGTATGACTGAGGTTGAGCCGACTGAGATTGAGCCGACTGAGATTTTTCCACGAAGAGCTTTTGCTCCATGCGCATAAACGGCAATATCAAGGAGTCCCGTATGCCGTGTTTCAACTTAATGTGTCTTTTCAAGTTGTCAGACCTGGTCAACGATATCAAACATATTTGACATACGTGCTTGTCGGGGTTGTGTGATTTCATGTGCTTTTTTATGTTGGCTACGCTCTTGCCGCACTGCTTACAGCATTCCATACCGATCTGCGTGTGCTCTAACTTATTGTGACTGTCTTTACTTATTTCCTTTTTGCAAGTCCTTTTGCAAAGCGGTATTCCTGGAATACAAGGTCCTGTTTCGATGAATTCATCATAATTAATTGACGATGCCAACTGTGTCTACAATTATCATCCCAAAATACGTAAAGATGATCGATTCCCGTTACCATCCTCAATTTCTTTTATTTCTTTGCGCAATGTCTAGTCTAATGTCTCAAACTCAAACTCTTTAATTAAAAAAAAAAAAAAAAAAAAAAATTATACGTGTTTTTGTTAATTGTGTAACTAAGCGTACAAATGTAAAATTATGAAATAAAAGATCTCAAAAATAAATGTCAAATCCTTTTTTATTATCAGAACCAACTGCCATGAACATAAATGTAATTTCTCTTGTAAAATGTTTGAAATGCAAATATTTTATCACAGCTTTTACTTTTTCATTGTAAAATGAAAAAAAATTACATAAATATTTAAAGATGTAATTTTTCTCTAAAATAATTTTTTAGAGCAAATATTATTTTAGAAAAATATTATTTTGCTGATCGACACAGATAATTAAGTATTAATAAATATCAATATTTGTATCAATATTGTGTCAATATTTAAGTATTAATAAAATTTTAATTGGTCATTACACATAAAAAATATCACAAAAATTTATATTGCAAAAATGTAATATTACTCTAATTCGTGAAATTAAAATTTATTTTACTAATTTTCCAAGAGAGAATCTTTTTCATTATTTTATAATATATTTTTAAAAATTGCTTTTTATATTTAACATATTTTTTTTATTTTGCTATTATTCTAATATAAGAAATTATCATTACGAAAAGAAATATTTCCGATGATAACGTTAAATAGAACATCTTTTATGCTTCCCATAAGTTACACTCTACGTCAAATAGTTGCAGAGAAGAAGAAATTCTCTCAAATACGTTCAAAATCAACGAAGATATCATAACGAACACCACACTCGTATTTGTATACGATAATGTACTAAATAGAATTGCTTGATTATCTTTCTTGTTTTTATAAGCGCTGGAAATATATGAAAATCTTGCTTGATGCGGAGAAAAAATAATGTAGGCAAAAAATATATAGAAAGATTCTAAAGGACATAATTAAAAAAAAATTGAAATTCCTTTGCGTCGAAACAAGACAGAAAATCGATTAATTCTATTAAAGACTTCACCCCGTGCTTTTTCTCATCTATAATTACCTACTCGTAGCAAATGTCAATACTATGTAAAAAAAAAAAAAAGCGCAATTCTACTGTCATTTCATCGCGTTCCAAGAGACTAAAGATACTGTCACAATACAGTACAGAAGAGAAAGAAAAGAGAAAAGAAATGTCAAAATTGACCTACTGAAAAGGAAATTGAATGAAAAATAAACATTCAAGTGTGAGAATTCCGGCGAGGAAATTCACCGATTCGACTTCCCGGTAAACGCTCAGTCTGCGGAGATCACGATACGGACTATCGACTTTGTCCCCAGCTCTTAAACACCGCCCATACATAAATTGCTCCGTCGGAGATCAAACGCGCGCATCTCGCGACCACTGGCAACTATTGCATAATGCAGCTCGTGCAACATTTCAGCTAACTAGATGTAATATGAATATGCAATCAAGAAGTACGTAATCTAGTAACTATCAACGTCAGCGGCGGTAACGACTACGACGCTTGCATCCGACGACGACGACGACGACGACGACGACGACGATGACGACGATGAAGGCAAGATCACTACGAGGTCGAGGATGCGAAAGATAAACGAAGAATAACGTTAGCAACAGAATCTATTTAACGAGCGGTCTAATCGCGTATGTTTCTTCGGATATAATCGTTAAAAGGAAAAAAATGATACCTAGGATCTTCCTGCTGCTGCTGTTGCTGCTGCTGCTGCTGCTGCCGCTATTGGCGACTATTATTAATGCATTGACGATGCGTAGTGGATAAGAGTCGTGACTATAAATAAGCGTGACGTTTTAATGGACGAACGATAGAAGATATTTCGCGAAAAGTAAAATTTTACCTGATAAATTCACCTATAGACTTTTTATAGATTACGTATATGGAACTTGAATCCTCGGATCTTGCAATCCCTGATTCCATGAAGATCCTCATGTTAGAGAATTTGCAAATTCTAGAATCTAATTGGCATCTTTATCTGTAATTTTAGGATAAGTTTTCGGGATAACTAAATCCTCGGATTCTTCGCTCTTGTATAATCGCGTTAACCTTCATATCCATTTCGTGGTATCAAGTAACGTAACATAGGAAACGTCTTACGTAACGAATTTTTTTTGCCCGCGGCCGGCAACTTTATTAACGCAAACGACGGATTGCGCAACGAGATGCGCAACGACTGCACATTTTGTTGCTAATATTCTCGTTCACTCGTGTAGATCGAAACGAACAGCGCAAGAGAGACGTGAGAATATAAGATCAAGATCGCCAGGCACGGTGACGCAAGATACGGCAAAAGGGTACATAAGAGAATAGGAAATAAAAACAGCACATAAAGACATGCACAGAGAGTCCCGCCATGGAAGTATCGCATATATACGTACATCTGCGTCTGCACGTGCACACAATGTACGTATATATGCTGTATATATATATATGTCTTATATATAATATATATGACATAAATATGTACATATCTCATTTTGCATACACGACACACATTTACACGCATTCACGCAAATGGAGTTCGTTAATGTGGCATCACGCATTCGCACGTACACGCGTCACGTGCACGTGTAAGAACAGCGAGATGAACTCAGTCAGACACGCACCCACACACCATCACAATCTCGGACACGGACTTAAAAAAAAAAAAAGAAAAACAGATATGAGATAGGAGTACAGTCCATTTGCTGATACCAGTCCCAAACCAACGAGAGTTTTGTTATGTTTTATTTCTTTCTGTATATGTATTAACACACGTAATTAAAACTACCACAATGACGTAGCAAATGCACGATACCATCACCATAACACCAAGGGTTCATGTAATATACACATGTAGTTATATATAATATATATATATATATATATATATGTACATATATGTATATGTATATATGTATATACACAGAGCTCAGTGTGTATGCATATATATATATATATATACGTACATGTACATACATATACATATACATATATATATATATACGTACATGTACATACATATACATATATATATATATATATATATATATAAAGGTCTTTCATTTTCTAAAGTTACACTCACTACACTTGCCAGATTTGGAAATAGAGGGATGCTCGCTTCGGACGACACCTACGTACGACTCGACTCGTGTCAAATCCTTGCAAATACGTGCATGCAAATCTCCCTCGATTTCTTAGATGTAACATATTTCCCACACACTGACGACGAAATAGTTTTTCCCGTGACATCGAGCGTTCAATACGCGCAAAATGACGAGTTTGATTCGCAAATGAAGCGCGATGTTTTAACGAATAAACGTCGAATAATGTATCGTCGCATCTTTTATTACTGCTTACAAGTTTAATATTTAAGCCCATTCGAATGATAATATCTGAGATAATATCGAGTAAAATTTTCAACATGCATAATACAAGTTAATCACAGCTCAGAACGGTTTGATACAAAATGTAAAAAAGGAAATATGTTAAATCTAAATGAAATTTTGGTCGTAAAATTGAATATAGTGCAGATCTTACCATCAAGTCCGTCGAGCATTTCCGGAGGATTATGGTGCTCAGATGATTCAATCCCTTGAACACCATCACTGAGTGCTCCTGCCGTGGCCCCTCCATCTTCTCCTATCAGTCCAACTGGATGACCCTGCACATGACATAATCACAGATTTATAAATAAATAGCCAGCAATAGTATGAAAGCTACTATAAGTTCACAATTTATAACATTTTAATTCAAATACTATCTGCAATCATCCTCAATGCATATCCTCAAAAGATAAAATCTTTGTATTCTTGCAAATTGTTGTTTCTCAAGTTCTATTAAATCCTCAAACTCTTAAATTATGTTTTTGAGATGATCAAATTGAAGACTTCTTGAAAACAAAATTTGCATTTTAAGATTTTTAAATGGTACTTATAATTTTCCCACGTTAAACTTAATGTAACAATATTTAAGTAACATACATAAAAAATTATATAGTTTAGCTATGTAAAAATTATATAAGTATAATTTAAACTCAGTAATGTTAATTAAATTTGTACATATATAATACTTATTTGAATATTTTGCATAGTTTTAAATAGAAATAATTAAAAAAGAAATATATATCTAAAAAAATATTTTTCGTTCCTATTTATATATAGAAGATATAATAATATTTAATTGTAGGAGGTTAAATATAATCAATATAATTTCAAAGAAAAAATTATTTTCAGAATAACTTGATTTATTGCTCAAACATATAAGATATCTGTCACAGAACATGATCTCAAAAATATATACTTTGGCATATTTTTTTCTCACATATTGAAAATTGTGTAGTAGTACGCTCATATAATACATCAAATATATAACAACATATACTTTAATAACGTTTAAAAAATACAAATTCAATCTTTTTATAAAGTCCAATCATCGTGGAAATATGTTACTTCATCATGAAATAATTACAAAAACAAATTTGTATGATTATATACAGACTTCATTCACGTCTATTAAAGTTATTTGCATAATTTTTATAATTATACAAATTTTCATAAACATCTTTAAGTGTTATTTAAATATACAATGGTTTTTCATATATCGTCTCAAGTAATACATATATACATATTACAACATAACATTGGAAATATTACTAAATGTATTAACAGAATTATTGTATCAACATCATTATATATGTATAGTCATGCATTGTCCTTTTAACAATAAAATAATATACACACATAAACTGTTTTAACTTTATAGGCAATAATAATTTTAACAGTGATAAAATTATTTGATGATAAAAACTCGCTTCTGTGAAAATATATTTAACAAGTGTAAACTTCTCTTTGTATATTGTTGATGCAATAAAATGATTACAATTGATTGAATGCAATCTAAAAGTAAAAAAGTCCAAGACTAAAATGTAAGAGAAATCGGGAACAGAAATCTTTGGAAGATCTCTGAAAGTACTTATAATTGTAAGAAATCTGATAGTTAAGGTGGTTCTACAGTAAATCGAGTTATCGTAGAAATGTCTAATTTTTTAATATAATAAAGCTAAAATACTTGACGTGTGTAAAATTCTAGGATAGATCATTGATGAAATAAAAGAGGAAAAAAATAGAGGCGCTTCTTTGACTAATTACACACAAATAATATCATAGATTTCTCTAAAAAGAGATTATAATAGTTAAAAAATTACGATTGTAACGGTTACAAAAAAGTAATAGGCCATTCTGGAAAGATATTTAATATTGAAATGGTAAAATATCGAATTTTCACAAGAACAAATTGTACAAAGAAATGAATTTCTTTTTATTTCACTACTTTAGTACTTTTGCATACTATATAAATATTATTTATTTTATATTTCATTAAAATATACATGTTTAATATTTATACAAATTATGCAGATATATTTATGTTTTTGGGTGGGCCCTGGTGAGGTGCTCAAATTTTCGGCACTTTACTGTAGAACCATGTTAAATAAATAATGTTAAAAAAAATAATGCACTTATAATATATTCTGTTACATGTTCAAGTTTCATTTTGTTTTAAAAATAAACAAATATTGTAAGTTTAATTAACTTAAATTTTGTCGCGATTTAATAAGGAATTTCTCAAAATACATATTTCGTACAAATATATTGAAATATATTTGTAAACGATAAGTCTTTTAGGTATTAAATGAGCGCGAAATTAATTACAAGTTAACAGATCCAGATAGGATGCAATGAAAGGTATCAAGGCTAGCATGTTTTTGTCGTATAAGCATAATGTTTTCTTTCCTCGTTTTCTTTTGCTACGCACAGCTTATGTGCTTTACATTTATCATGATGGTTCACGATCTCTAATCTAAAATTGCCATTTCCCGCAGCAAATGAAGTACGAATTTCTGGTATAGATTCATTCCACTTTCTACAGTATTTGCAAAACATAAGATTCGATTGTTCATCATACTGCAACCAGGAATACATGCCTAACCATCCCGGTTTAAATTTACCAGCCTTTCTATTGTGCGGAGTAGTACGTTGCAAGTTTGCGCACTGAATTGTCTGCTGAATTACAGACAATCCTGGTTCCTGATTTATTTGTAACGATCTATCACTTTCAAGTCTCTTAGCAACTGGATATTCGGGTAACGATTGGGTTTGATCAATGCTATTGCTTTTATACGAATGGTGTGTGTTCATAGATATAGCTTGACTTAGCGGATTATGCAAATTTCCGGGAAATTCAGACGCAATTCCCGACATATCGATATAGAGAGAACCTCCAGCCATGATGGCACTTTCGCGAGAAACCTGCACCCCAGCGGAATCTGGACGATTTGAAGTCATGTTCTGTACATCCATAGTTTCGTCACTCTTCCCATCTCTTTGAACCTCCCACTCCATATTAGTCTGTCAACAGAGAAGGAAAGGATATGTGCTTAATCAACACATCTCGACCAATTTTTTTTTTAGCAGAAAAAGCCAATTCTGTAATCTCTAATTAGAAAAATCCCTTCCTTCCCATGTTTGTTTCGACTATAGGATGACGGTAGGTAATCGTCATCAATTGTGGGAACAGTAACGAAACTCCGTTATAGGGACAATTATCTTCATGATATATCACGAGAACTTTGCACTTCATTTACGACTGTGCAAAGTATTTTAAGCGAGAAGAAGCATACAGCATCTTCGGAAAAAATGCGGAATAAAATAAAAATATTTTAATGGACACACAGAATCTAAGTTACATGCTATAATAATAATAGAATAATAATAATACTTTGTTACGCGAACACTTCACACCACAAATGTTCAAACAATTTACACGTGCATTCTTTTAAATATTCTTAAAGAAATATCTTACAGAAATAATGTATTAACTATGTAATGCATAATTACATAATTACTTAAAAATTACGTGTCTAGAGATAAATGTAATAAGATAAGAAACAATAAAATTTCTCAAGCTTTTTTGTAGTGCATGTGACTTTAGATAAAGAAACCAAGAACATAAACAATCTTATCATTATTATCTTTTATGCAATCACGATAAATACATCAAAAAATAATTTCCTTCAATTGCATCAATAATACTTTCAAATAAATTGAAATACTTATAATCAACTCTTTACCAGCAAGGAAGATTACATACACATATATTTTATTCCATGTAACAACATAGATCGTGCAAAGTTAAAAACAAATTTTAACAAAGTTAGTATTCTACATTATTAAACGAATGAACGCACAAGAAAAAGCGAAGCGAATACATATGCAGGGCAGAGATAGAAAGAAATGATTAATCAAAATTAAAATATGAAATACATAAATGTCGAAAATTACTTACGGGGAGGGAAATATTGTCATGGAAGTCGGGCAAGTGGTGATCCACCTCTTGTTTAATAGGAGCCTGCGGTTGTGAAGCAGGGGACATGGGTCGACCACCATCTTCCATCTCAACTCCCAGGGCATTATTTAACTTTGGAATCACAGGAGGACTTGATTTGTAACTACACTGCGAGGATGTCTGAAAATAATCAATCAAAAAAAATTTTTTTCATCTTTCTCTGAATGCTGTACCTCGACATGATTACTAATTGTAAAATTTAAGGTTAAGAACTTTTTTTTTAAATAAACACTCATTAATAAGTTATTTCTTTTGCTTAAAAACGTGATAGAAGGATTTATTATAATAAGCTGAGTAGGTATTTGTTGTATGATAACGTTTACTATTATGTGCTTGTAGTCAAATTGCATTTGACGTTTTGGAATAGACAGATTACATCTTTTTCTAAATGTGTGAATCTTACGTCAAAATATATATAAATAAAAGTATATAGGAAAATACATTATTAGAAACTCTATAACAGAGTCTGGCCACGAGCAATTTTGTCAAAACAAGAATAAAAAAGAAGAGTATATGTACTGTTTCTTTTTACATATGCAATCCCATTCTAACTTATATATCAATCTTACTCATTCCAACTCACTGAAGTTGACAAAAACGACAGGCCAATCAAAAATATCATTTTGTGACCAGACTTTGTTATGAGATCTTTAATTATGATGATATCTGTCTTTTGAATTATGCAGCAGGTATATATTGGCCTGAACTTTCCAAGGTTATAAAGTTATTTGGAAAGCTGTGCAATCACAAGCACATGTATAATTTGTTGATAATATGTATGAGACCACAATCAACCAGAATTTTAAGCAGTAGCACAAGTATAATGATATATAAATAGAAATTAGTATTCATATAAACTCATTTAAAGAAACTGTATTATTATAAATATTGTGCGTGTATGTTATTTTATACAGTTAATATGTGAAAATGTAATGTAATATTTAATATTATTACAAACATAACGATTAAAATAAAAATTGTATCCAAAGAGACCAAAGAGACAATCTGGAATGCACACAAAAAATTATGATCGCATCAATTTTCAGAAGAAATACTTATGTTGCTCGTTTCTGTATAATTTTTCTTAATCAAGTTTTAAGATATATTTAATATGACACGCACACAAGTCATGATAAAGATACATGTGTGTTACGATGAATAAAAATAATGACACCTATCTCGTGATAGAGTTACAGAAGAGAGTAAACGAGTACGATATCTACCTGAGAATCAGACAAGAATCTTTCGCTAGGTGGGCCAGAAAGAGAAACATCGTAGCTGCCTGAATTCTTTCTTTTCCTCTTCTCATGATGAGACTGGAGGTTAGGCGAATCGCTATGTCTTACTCCAGTTTGCGTTTCTGGATCAGGTGATGGACATTTGTCCTCTGCCTTGTTATTTACACTATTATCGGTGAGGCCTCTGATCTGCAATGCCTCTGCTGTTTTAAGGAACATCGGTAGGAGATGCTGACTAACATTGACTTCGCCCTTATACATAAAGTGCAGCAACGCCTTCATTTCCGTGTCATTGACATCCTTGAGGAATATGATTGGATGGGGGTGGGTGTTTTGCAGGAAAATGCTCTCGAAATACGGACTGCATGCAGAGAGTATGGTTTGGTGCGCCTTGAAGGTCTCTCCGACACAGGCCAGGGTAACGTCACAGAGTGCTTCTCTGGCAAGCAGCGAGCTGAGAACGTCTGTGAGGTTGGCTGGATGATTGTTCCACCGTAGACAATACTGCTGGTCCATCTTGTCTATCTCCAATCCCGACCCTACAACCAAACTAGTTGGCCAAAACAGTCTACATAAAAGCTATGCTATCACCCTGGCTATACCGAATTTTGTGTGATCCCCTAACCCTTAAAAATCGCTAAACTCACACACTTTCTCCACGCGCACTCTCCTATCGTCCTGACAATATCTCCCCGCAGATTAAATCGCGGCTCTCTAGACCCACACAACGTCCTCCGCGCTTCTGCAAATGTGCCACATTGCAGTATAACTGTAAAACCCTTCAGGGTTCACGCCGCGCTACTATACGTGCAGAAAACATTTTTTCGCATAACCTTAACGGCCGGAACGAGGTAAGCCGCGCTCGAATTTCTAAACGATGGGCCACGGCCACGGGCCGCCCGCGAGGTTAGATCGCTAATTGCGACGCAGTACGTACCACCCACGTATACGATTATAATCCGATATATTCGGAGATGATGTTTTTGGCAATGTCAATATTCGCGTGGCTTGGGCGCCATTGTCGGCCGTGCTCGTCTAGCCTCCACGAGCCTCCTCGCGAAAAGACGATTTGTTGATGCCCGATTTTCTAGCCACTCGTACAACCTTAACTCGCACCGCTTTATTTACGCGGATCCTACGCAGGTTACGCCGTCGCGTATCACTCACCGCGAGATACCGCTTCCCGAATATCTCCCGTACGTCGATTACTCACCTCTCGCAAACTTTTTGCCATTACAACGCCACCCGACCCTTAACGTCCACTGCCATACCAATCTGCCAATGCCTACGGCCTTATTTTTAAAATACTTTTGACCTTCGTGCATCTGCCGCGGGGAATGGCGCGAAGGGCGCTCGGATTCAAACGCGGTTGAACGTACGCCGCGTCTTCTTTCCGACTGCGTGCGGGATCCCGCGGCCCGCCGATGCGCCCCGATAACGTGGCCTGTCCCATGCGAAATATATCGCAGCCGGAATATAGAGAATTCGCGCGGCGCTCGTTCAGTCGTCGCCATATCGATCTCTACCAGACCCGGCCTTCTTATTTTCCAAATAACGCACGCTTTCATTACGTCAGCCGCGCGATATGGCGCGTCAACGCGCACTATTCAAACGCGACCGAATCGTTTTTCACGATTATCGTTCATTCATTCATTTATTTACGTCTCTAAAAATCAGACTAACCAATTGATCAGAATTTTATCGATTAATATAAGTGTATAATGTCTGTAACAAATCAGATTTTACTAATTAACGTAATTGAATAATGAAAGGACTTTCAATTCAAGAACATTATACTTTATTTTTTTTAATTTACCAATAGTCGTATTTTTTTTATTCCACACTGACAGAAAATTGTATTAAATTTTAATAAATATTTGTCTGAACATTTATTAAATGCCTGTTAAATATTCACTAAATGTAAACATGTTTATTCGGTACAAGAACAATTAATTTGATTGTTTATTTAGCAAATATTTATTCTACTAAATAAAAATAAATTTTAGATTAGTATTAATTATTTATTAAAATTAAATACTTTTTCTCAATGTACAAATAAACAAAATAGCTTTATTATGTATTTATAAATTCGTCAAAATAAAATTCTTTTAATGGTGACAAATGGTGATTATTGAAAAATTATTAATGCCTGTGTTTATTATCAATAAACGATTGCGCGATAAGTGGTTTATATTTTATATTAAAATTTACACAAAATTATTAAAACGATGTCATTTTCTTATAAATTGTTTACCGTAATTTGACAATAATTTAACTTTTTTGAAAAATAATTTAATTATTTCTGATCTTAATAATAAATTATAAATCAAATCATGATTTCTCAAATCAATATAAGAGATAGAACTTTAGCAGCGTCCGAAATGTAAATAAAGCGGTTGCTTTAAAGCTAATGCATTTTCAAGTGACTCCGAAATAATTAAATTTCGTCTATTCTCTCACAGTACGGTATTCAATTTAACGCACATGTTCATTAAAAAACTTAGTTTGCAAAAATGAGTTAACAGTTAACTGATACCCAAAGAAGAAAGAAATTAAATTCATCTTTTTCAGTTATTTATAATCTTCCTTTTTGTCATTATTTTTTAATTAATAATATCTTCAGTAATATATGAGTATATACATATA